GTCCATCCATTGTTCAGACAAAAACCTGTTTTTGTTTTTTGTTGCTCTAAATCTAACACCAACCTTTTGGTCAAATCAATTTTATTAGCGTCTTTTTAGATATATTTAATTTAATTTAATGTGAGTTTTTTAATATAAATTTGCTTAATGCTTAATTATGGTCATTACGAGTCTTGTAAGATTTTGGAAGTCACTGCATGATTACAGCAGAATTGTCTGATACAAGCCAAAAACTATCAAGCTAGAAATAGAATCTTGAGCTAAACTCACGTTTCTATAAATATTTTCTCTTAAACTAAATATTATAGGCCAAACATATTAGTATTGTAGAAATTTAAGTTTCTACAACAGAATTTTCCTCATTCATGTCTTTTATTTCTTCAGTTTGCACAAGGGGCTCATATTTTCTGTGATACTGCAGATCAAATGTTATATGCAACAGTTGCTTCGTGGTATTGAGCATTGCCACAGTCATGGTGTTCTACATCGAGACATCAAGGGCTCAAATCTTCTGATTGACAAGAATGGCAATCTAAAGATTGGTGATTTTGGGCTAGCAACTTTCTTTGAGCCTTCTAAGGCTCAGGTTTTGACAAGTCGTGTGGTAACCTTGTGGTACCGACCACCTGAACTCCTACTGGGAGCCACAAATTATGGAGTTGCAGTGGACTTGTGGAGTGCTGGTTGCATTCTTGCGGAGTTGTTTGCTGGAAAGCCTATAATGCCTGGACGAACAGAGGTAGTGCCTTCTTACATTCTATATTTTATTGGACATACTGAAACCTAACCATCCATTTTTCTGAGCAGAATCAAGTCTGAAGTAGACAAATTTCTCTTCTTTCTTCTTAGCATCCTTACATGAGTGTTGGAAGATGAATCATCCATGGAAGTAGAATGGAATTATTCTTAAGAAAATTGTCACGTTTCTAGCCTAAAATCCATGAGCATATTATTGCATCTGCTTGTTTAATCTGCAACCATCATAACGATTGAAAATGCTCTTACACGTTTAGCTGCTCCTCTATTGGAAACTGTATAAGCCCAAAAGTTTGCTAGTTAATCTTTTGCCAAATACTTAATTTCAGATTGTCTCCATTAATTGAAATATCCTGTAATAATTAAAGGCCATTGTTATGCAGACTTCAACTCTGTCATTGATATTAATCAATATCAATATATCTATCAAAGTTGTGAAAAGCCATACTGTTTACAAGCTGTGAATAGTGCAACATATCTCAAACTCTGTGCAAATACATGGGGGTCCACTCTAGTCTTTGAACATGTGGAACTTTTTAGGACTTAACTGGGCAACAAGATAAGGTCTTGCTATCTATTTTCTAGGTGGAGCAACTTCACAAAATCTTTAAACTCTGTGGATCACCATCTGAAGAATACTGGAAGAAGTCAAAGCTACCACATGCAACAATTTTCAAACCTCAACATCCCTACAAACGTGTTGTTGCTGAGACATTTAAGGATTTTCCTCCATCAGCATTAAGCCTTTTGGAAGTCCTCCTTGCTATTGAACCTGACGATCGAGGAACTGCTTCTTTAGCACTTCACAGCGAGGTAGCTATAAGTTCTACTTAAGTTGAAGCACAAGTTCGAATGGAGTGGGATTAGTCTGTCCTATACTCCTATTCTACCATTATATTTTTCACGGTGCAATCTCATGGCATTGTTAGTATATGCCTTTTGAACTTTATTTTTCCTTTCTAACTAACAGTTCTCTTTGTGTAGTTCTTTACCACAAAGCCTCTTCCATGTGATCCTTCTACTTTGCCAAGATATCCACCAAGCAAGGAGTTTGATGTCAAGTTTCGACAAGAAGAAGCCAGAAGGTATTCCATTGGAAATTCTAATAATTTGGTCACATCTGATATTAGCATAGTCAATAATTGTAAAAACAGAAAATGCTGCTGCTACATTTTTTTGATATTTATTTTTAATGAAAAAAATTATCTGGTGAGCTAGCACTCTTTTGATACCATTGTTCTATAATATTATATGAACTTGCTTCTGAATAATGATAAAGTGGCTTTTTTACTTGCCCTTCTCTTTGAGATATCAACTTTCAAATCCTCTAATTAATCTTTGTAATTGAGATCAAAGTTTTTTCTCCTTCTTTTAGCTTAATGGTATGGGCATGATTTGCAATTGAAAGACGCTCAACTTTCTATACCTTTTCTTTCTCCATGCATGTTACTTTTGTTACCCATTTGTTCGTTTGAATACAGACGAAGAGCTGCAAATAATAAAGGAAATGCAGAGGAATTCTCTAGCAAGGTTTCCAAAGATTCTAAAGCTGTTCCAGCACCTGATGCTAAGGCTGAGTTACGGTCATCAATTGAGGTACCTCACTTCATAGATTAAAAAGTTTGTGGATCTCCTGTTCATAAGAACTTTATGAGAATTGTCTAATACGCATTGTTCCATGTCTTGTCCTCCCCTTTCCTTCAGAAAAGACAAGGACAAGCTAACCCTAAATGTATTAGCGAGAAGTTCAATCCTGATGAGGATGGTGGTTCTGGCTTCCCTATTGAACCTTCAAAGACACGAGCACTCAATGCCTTCTCTCATTCTGGTCAGTCAATGCATCCAAGTGTGTATGGATCTTCACGTAATATGAATTTAAACAAGGAAGAGTCTATTGCTGGCCCTGGCCGTGTGTATAATTCAGGAAATCCTGCAGAATTAAGAAAACAAAGATCCTACATGAACAGGAATGCTGCTCAATTGTCGAGGTTTTCTAATTCAGTTGCCAATGGAGGTGGTTTAAAGCTTGATATGAGTGGAGATGCTAGTTCACAGTGGCCTGATGATTGCTTTGGCACACGATATGACCATCTTGTTGATGACGAATCCAACCAATTGCTCAAGTCTATGCACAAGAAGGAAATGCATCCTTGCGCAAAGGAGTCTTCCAAGGTAGAGAAAATACATGTATTTGTGCAATTGATCCTTTTTTTTTTTAATCCCCATTTAAAATTTTGTCTCTATTAATTACTGAACCACCAGGTAAAAAAAGAGGAATGAAAGATGATTATGCTGTGACTGACTGATGGTTTATAATCAATATGATTATGGAGCTACCTACTAATACCTTGATTTTTTAACCCAGAAAAACAGATGTAATACCTTGATCTTCTTTTTGTGATGCAGGCCTTTGCCCCAAAAAATGGTCAAATGTACTATTCAGGGCCTCTAGTCCCTGGAGGTGAAAATCTCGATGAAATGCTTAAGGAGCATGAAAGGCAAATCCTACAAGCTGTCCGCAAGGCACGGTCAGATAAGGTCAAGATCAGTAAATGCTGCAATGACACTGGCCAAACTGAATCCCTACTTCACCATGTGGGAAATCGCTAGCGAGACTTTCAATAGGATGGCTATGATGCTTCAACTTGGGATGTGGATGCCTGCATCTTTCTTCTGGAATTTTGACAAACGTTGATGCTGAGAAATAATTTCAGGAATCATGGAGCCTTATCAAGGGTTCTCGGAACATCAATGATTATGGTTTCTGTCTCAGTTCTAACCACCAAACCGTAGTTATTTTGAAGGTGGATGGCGTGGAGAGCAATTGAAATCGATGGCAAATGGGAGTCCGACTGTACAAGATTTGATAGTTTTTTAAATTTACTCACCAGAAAATTGTTTTGTTTCTAGATGGTGAGGTCATTTTCTGCTGACAATGATCGGTTACTCAATATTTAACTTGTACAGGTGAAGTTGATTTTGCTGAACCAGATTACACTTATTCGAAATGCAAAGTGCATTAAGCTTATCATCTTTAATCGAAATGCAATGGCTCTCTCAGCAACCTGTCAGAGAAAAAGCTGGCAATATTGTGAATTTGTAATGCATTTCATAACTTTATTTTTCTCTAGGCTAAAGGTCAAAATTGTATAGCGATTTTTTCGTGAGAATGATTTACTTGTATTCAATGTCCAGTATGCAGATCATTTTCTGTAAAATTATAAAGGAATTCTATTATTTATTTATTCTTTCAAAATATGATAAACCTTGTTTTTTCTCAAAAGAGTAATACTTAATGAAATTGCGATGCTCTATTATGCATTGCACGAAACATCCTAGTTTGTTACTTGATCGTTGATTAAATGTTTTCCTTGTATTAAGAAAAGGCTGTAATAATGTGGAGAGGTAAAGGGGGGCAAAACAAAAGACGTGCAGTGAAGATACTTCTTTTCTTGCGGGAATCAATGGAAAATGACAAAAAAAAAAAAATCCTCAAAAGAAACAAAAAATCTCGACTGAATCCATGTTAAGTCATTCTCTTCAAAATTAGAGAGGAAAAAAAAGGTGAAAATTCATATGCTCCCAACTAATTTTCCTTGTTATCTAGAACTTGATTATTTTCAATAATAACCACAAGGACATTACTCTAACATTATCAATAAAAAACAATGAATAAAGAAACCTACCTCACTCAGGATTTGGACTCATTTAGCACAAACCCCATGTAGTAGTAGTAGTAATAATAATAATAATAATAATAATTATTATTATTATTATTATATTGTTAAATTAGCAAGAACTCATGAAGCATATGAATTGCTCTCCCACTCCATTTTTGGTCTTAAGTAATACGATGCTGAATTAAGGAAATGTATATACGGTCACTGTCACATAAAAAGGAGGGAACAAGTAAGACGAAGGTTTAGATGAAAAGGTGGTTGTTTTATAGGCTTTGCCAGGACTCCAGTTATTGTGCCCTTGAGAAAAGAGATCTCACCAACTTAGCAGATCCACCAACAAGCACTGTAATGTTTTTGATTCATTTAGAATTCTTTCAGCTCTTTTGTCCTCATCGAATATTCCCTTCTTCTTCAAGCATCAAACACTAATCACTCTCTCCATACCTTCATTCATTCACCTCTCTTCCTCTTGAAATTCTCACCTTCTTCTTCTACTTCTTCCTCCCAAACATCACACCAAGTAAAACCACAATTGTTGATTCTTCTGCAATTTCCGACGTAACTATGAGGCCCAAAGCTAATCAAACCCTGAACTTGAAGCTCCTCATTCTGGGGCTTCTGGTTTCTGTTTTGCTCATCTTTTTGCTGAGATCAAACTTCTCTTCTTCAAACCAAGACCTGTCTAATCCAAGTTCTTCACATACAGCAGTAGCCATGGATTCTTCAAATGGTGAGAAAGAGAAGAGTACTGAGACAAGAGATTGTCCACTTGTTTGCAACAAGATCCCAGCTTCTCTAGCTCAAGCTCTGATCCATTACTCAACCACAACCATAACCCCACAACACACGCTGAAAGAGATATCAGTGACAGCAAGAGTTTTGGAGAAGAGATCTCCATGCAATTTCTTAGTCATTGGCTTAGGCCATGACAGCCTCATGTGGAGTTCTCTCAACTATGGTGGCAGAGGTCGAGTCCTACTTGATTTAATACCTCCCCCTCCTAAAAATATGGAGGACTTTTGAAGGATTTGGTAGAAGCCAGGGACTGGGGGAGATCTAATGATTTGTTAGGATTTAGAAATATTTTCTAATAGAGATATGTATATAAGGAGATCTGTTAGGATTTTGAAATTATTTTGATCCTCCTAATCATGTAGTCTATGTATAGCAAGTTTTATCTATCAAATATGATTTATCATTGTATCTAACTCTTCTTATAGGGTGCTTGGTTACCTTCAAAAACATTTTTTTTTTTAAAAAAGTGTTTTTTATATAAGTTGAGACAAAACTTCTCTCACATACTTATTTTGAACTCTATAGAATAATTTCTAAAAAGCTAATCCAAACACCCCTTAATTAGTCACATGAAATGTATCATTGGTTTAGACCTGTACTAAGAAAAACATACATCCATTGCTTAAAACTTCAAGATATTATGTGCATATGTGGCTTTTTGCCATATATATTAGCACAATTATACTTAATTTTTGAGATTTTTCCCTCTCATTTACTCTTGCATTTGATATCTCATGTGACAAAAA